GTCATATACCATCTATAAATCATTTTCATTACGTTTTCTTTCAAAGCATTACATGCAGTAAATTTCAATCCATTACTCCACAGCCTTTCCCAGTCCTCAAACATAATATTATACCCAATATCCTGTGCCCACCTTATCATAGCCGATTTAACCATTTCATCTTGTGTATTCCATTCCAACAGCAAGTTATACATCCTTGAAAGTATCTTAGTCTTTGGTTCTAACAATTCTGTTTCTAATTTCGATTTCTCCACCTGGAACCCTAGTTTCTTATCACTTTTAAAAACTTCTTTAATCTGGGCATAGTGTAACCAATCTCGCACTTTATCTTTCATTTTCTCCAAGCTCTGCAATTTCCAATTGTCTCCATCTTTTCTAGTATTTCCCAATATTTTGGCCATTTGGCCTCCATATTGGGTCTTTTCGGGCCTTAGCTTCCAAAGGTGAAAGCCACCTTGGTGTTTTATTTTCCAGCAAGTCTTTATATTTTGTCCAGACATTAAACAGTGATTTTCTAACAATATGGTTCTTAAAGGCCTTATTTGCTTTAACTTTGTCATACCATAAATATGCATGCCATCCAAAAACATTGTTAAACCCCTCCAAATCTAACACATCAGTGTCTTCAAGAAGTAGCCAGTCTTTTAGCCAGCAGAACGCTGCGGCTTCATAGTACAACTTTAAGTCCGGCAGGGCCAAGCCCCTCTTTGTTTTGCATCGGTTAGTATCTTAAACTTAATTCTGGGCTTTTGCCCTGCCAGACAAACTTCGAAATGTCTCTCTGCCACTTCTGAAAGCACTCCATTTTGTCCAATACCTGCAGTGTTTGAAATAAAAACAACATTCTTGGCAATACATTCATCTTAATCGCAGCAATTCGGCCTAACAAAGAAAGTTTCAATTTTGACCAACTGTCTAAGTCTCTCTTAATTTCTGTCCAACATTTTTCATAATTATCCTTAAATAGACTTAGATTTTTTGCTGTTATGTTTACCCCTAGGTATTTTACTTTTTAACCACATTAAGTTCCGTCTCATTCTGAAACCGTTCTGACTCTGTCTCAGTCAGATTTTTCCCCAAAACCTTAGTTTTCTGTTTGTTTAATTTAAATCCCGCCACCCGACCAAAATCATTAATCAATTGTAATACTCTTTTCGTACTAGGCTCTGGCTTCTGCAAGGTCAAAACCAGGTCATCTGCAAAAGCTTTTAATTTATATTGTTTCTGACCAACCTGAATTCCTTCCACCAGCTGGTCCCTTCTAATCATGTTCAATAGCACTTCCAGGACCGAAATAAATAACAAAGGGAAATAGGGCAACCTTGTCGTGTCCCTTTTTCAATTTTGAACTCTTCTGTAACCACATTATTAACTATCAGTTTTGCTTTCTGTTCTGAATATATCGCCTCAATCCCATTCTCAAAACCCCGTCCCACTCCCATCTCTTTTAAGTTTCCCATCATAAATTTCCAAGAAATGTTATCAAAGGCCTTCTCCGCATCTATAAAAATTAAAACAGCTTTTGTATTTATGTCAGTTTGGAGAAGTTCCAAAATATCAATAATGTTCCTTGTGTTAGCAGACAAATGTCTACCTGGGAGAAAACCGGCCTGGTCCTTATGAATTACTTCATTTAAAACTTTTTTTAAATCTACTTGCCAAAATATCTGCAAATATTTTGTAATCCACATTTAAAAGGGAGATGGGACGGTAGTTCTTCAGTTGTGTCTTTTCAGTTTCTGACTTTGGTATCAATGTGATAAACGCTTCCTTCCACGAATCCGGTGCCCTCTTCCCCTCCATAATTTCATTGCTAACCTCCATCAAGGGTTGTATCAAATAGTCTTTTAGTGTCTTATAATACTTGGAGGTCAGCCCGTCTGGCCCTGGAGATTTGCCAAGTTGCATGTTCTGAATAGCTTGTTCAATCTCCTGTCGTGTTATTTTAGAGTTCAGGATTGTCCTATTTTCTTGTGACAGTTTAGATAATCCATTTTTTGCCAAAAATTGTTTAATCTCAACTTCGTCTTGCGGCCCTTGGGTATATAATTTTTTAAATATCTCTGGAAACACTTTCTAATGTCCACTGGATTCTGAATGTTTCTTCCATCAACCTCTAAATTTGTAACCGTGTTTAATCTTTGTCTTCTCTTCAACTGCCAGGATAGCAGTTTTCCACATTTATTCGCCGACTCAAACGGGGTTTTGTTTCATTAATTTGATCTTCCATTCAATTTCCTGATTTATCAATTTAGAATACTGTGTTTGATACAGTTTAATTTCTCTCAGAGTTGGCTGTGACTTTGGATTCACTCTTAATTTCTTCTCTAATTCTTTTATTTTATCCAAAATCTTGTCTTTTTCTCATTTTGTGTTTTTTTCTTTACTACATTCTGTTGTATCAGGAATCCCCTCATGACAGCTTTGCTTAGCGTCCCAGACGATTCTTTGTTCCACCGAATTGTTCATATTTATCTCAAAATAATCTTTCAAAACTTTTTGGGCCTTCTTGGTAATTTCCTGATCTCTAAACAAATTGTCATTCATCTTCCATCTAAAGGATCCAGTTGGTAGTAATGTCATGTCCATCTTTACTGCGTTGTGGTCAGAACAGGTCTTTGGGCAGATTTCCACTTTTCTAACCCTAGGTGCCAGGCCTCTAGAGATCCATATTTGGTCGATTCTTGTCCAGGTCAGTTGGGCTTCAGAAAAGAATGTTCCTTCTCTACCTAGTGGGTTCTTTGTTCTCCAAATGTCGATCAAATCCATATTGTCAGTCATTTCAAAAAATGTTTTAGGTAGTCTGCCATCTTTTGTGATGTTTTGACTTTGCGACTTGTCCATGTTGGTTGACACGACCCCGTTCATGTCTCCCATCATTATGATATTGTTGTAATCCAGATGATCCAGCATTGTCCCCTGCAACTTCTTGTAAAATTCCGATTTCCCTTCATTAGGCGCATAGATTCCTAATATCAGCAGTTTCTCTCCTTGATATTGTATCTCAATAGCCAAAATCCTTCCATGTTCATCTTTAAATAGAAATTTAGGTGACAGGCTCTCGAACTGACATGATTTCAGCCCTCATGGGCAAGAGGTTGTTCCTTCAGAATCAAAGGAAATACTACCCACATGGATGCAAGTATAAGCAATGGAATGAGTGGCTTGGATTCTGAGAACCAGGAGTGGAAGCTGGTGGAAGGGGACTTCCTTGTAGTCCCTTCTTTCCACTGCAACCCTGAGAAACCTCTTCATCATAATAATAATAAATAAATTTTTATTTATACCCCGCCCTTCCCAGTTCAGAAACCCAGACTCAGGGCGGCTAACAACAAATTTAAAACACTTAATTGTAATACAACATAAAAGCAGCATAAAAGACAGTATAAAAACATGAATAACAATAAAATTCAAAGTTCAAAAATCAATTTGAGGGAAATACATCCAATAAACATTAGATAGTCACCAGGGCTAGCTGGCTAAATTAGACCTACTTGGGCCAGCGAGGAGGCCAGGGGAGAATTAGCTGTGGGGTCCCAGAGCAGGTAATCTTCATAAAAAGGGGGGAGGGGAAAAAGAAGGGAAATAAAAGATCAGGCTGAGTTCAAATTAAAGGCCAGGCAGAATAGCTCTGTCTTACAGGCCCGGCGGAAGGAGGTTAAATCCTGCAGGGCCCTAGTCTCATGGGACAGAGCATTCCACCAGGTCGGAGCCATCACTGAAAAGGATAGTCTGACTTCCTTAGGCCCCGGGACCTCTAAACTATGGTTATTCATGGACTTAAGGTCCTCTGTGGGGCATACCAGGAGAGGCGGTCCCTTAAATACGAGGGCCCTAAACATGGGCACCCAACACTCTTCAGAGGGTTGGGTGCCCATGTAGTGTGGGGTGGGGTTGCAGTGGAAAGAAATCCTAGAGAGCTGCTGAGGTTGATAGAGCAAAGGAACTGACTTGGTATCAGGCAGATTCTTATGTTCTTCTGAAAACTGCACACGTATTAATTCAAACTAGTATTGCATCTATAATAGCTGGAGAAACTGTCCTGATCCATTGTATGGGTCAAAATCACGAGTCATCACATGGGCTATTTCAGCTGAGTCATATTTGCAGAGAGCCTTGCATGGCTTTTTTCAAAACATGTATCCAAATCAGACACCTAGTCCCAGAAATGGTATCCTTTCATACTGTGTAGCTGCTGGTGCACACACATTTAGACCCTTTTATATTCATTGGGGACACGGGTGGCGCTGTGGGTAAAAGCCTCAGCGCCTAGGGCTTGCCGATCAAAAGGTCGGCGGTTCGAATCCCCGTGGCGGGGTGCGCTCCCGTTGCTCGGTCCCAGCGCCTGCCAACCTAGCAGTTCGAAAGCACCCCCGGGTGCAAGTAGATAAATAGGGACCGCTTACTGGCGGGAAGGTAAACGGCGTTTCCGTGTGCTGCGCTGGCTCGCCAGATGCGGCTTTGTCACGCTGGCCACGTGACCCGGAAGTGTCTCTGGACAGCGCTGGCCCCCGGCCTCTTGAGTGAGATGGGCGCACAACCCTAGAGTCTGTCAAGACTGGCCCGTACGGGCAGGGCTACCTTTACCTTTACCTTTACCTTTACCTTTACCTTTATATTCATTGAAAGCATACCTGCAGTATGAATTCCTCATGGAATTGCCTCTCTTCCAAAGCATTTGAGCTTGAGCTAGTGGCTAAGATACACTGGAAGCATCGTTGTGGTTTCTTTCCTTGACCCAGAGTGTTTCCACGCTGTCTGATTGTCAGGTGGAATTGAGTCACATACCGGCAAATTCAGGTTGCACAGTTATAGTTGGTTTTGAGGTCTTGCACAACCAACCTACTTCCCCCAGGGAACATGCAGTTGAATGTGTGGAATAACGGAATATCCCTGCAAACAGATCAGAATAAATTCTCATTTAAATAGCCAACTTCATCTAATTTCCCTGCAAACAAATCAGCACTAATGATCAGTAAAGCTACCCTGGAAATGTTTCTTTAAGCACAGCTGAATTCAGCAGCAGAAGTTGCTCTGATCTGCAGGACTTGTTGGTTCCTCAAGGAGGCGCTCAAGATCTAATTATTAAATATAGTATAAAAAGCTTCCTTGCGGTTGGTTTTACTGAGCCATGCATGGCCAGAACCTTTAGATGTCACTTTCGTTTGGACCTTTTTATTCAAAGTTTGACGTTTTTAGTTCTATTTAGCCACGACAGCCTTAATGCATCTCTCTTCATATCTGCCTCCTTCTAGGAACCTCATTTGGAGAAATGAATCTAGTCATTTTCTCATTTAAGTATCAAAGCTATGGAAACTGTTCAGCTCTGTTCATAATTTGGCCTTCTGGGTTTCCCTGACAACCAGAAACATATTTCCTTCCTGCCCCCCCCTTTCCTTTTTACTAATAATGTAAATTCACAATATGTTCTTATCTCTTATTCAACAGCAGGAGAGTAACACTGTTTTTCTTGGCTATTTCTTGTTCTGAGAATAGTTTGGGATTTGGGGCAGATACAAAAAACAAAACAAAAACCATAGTATCTAAGTTAAATAACCCTTCTCATTGAATAGCACCATTCTGTCAGTTGCTGAAAGCTGAAGGTGCCTCATCAGAAAGTTACTCCTTTGCAGCTGAACTATGAGGGATCACAGCTCTGCCCTTCGTGTATGGAGGCCTTATTCAAAATCTCAACTATAAACATAACTGCTTATCCTAATATTAAATTGCAATGGTGCAAAGGAATAGTATGTGTCTAGCTCACCCTTAGGATTTTTTTAATCCTTCGCAGCATGTGAGTGGAATACAATTTTCTCTCATTAAAAAAAAAAATCCAGATTACACTTTAAAAAATCACTTTGTGGACTCTCACAGGGGACTTGAAAATACTTTCTGAAGCTTGCCTGATCCTCCCTGTTTAATACGCTCTGTAATTTTTGCACCTTCTGATATTGCAACTCTTATTCGACAGCCAAAGATGGAGGGACCCTGAGGTCAATCCACCATTAAATAAAACTTCCAGGAAAATATAATCACCTGCCGGGCAAACCAAGAGCTGCCATGTCCAGTGTTTGTTTGATATTACATATAACATAATCAGCACTGGGAGACCATCCAATCGGAGGCTAACGTCATGATACATACACTTTATTTCATTCTGAAGTGACATAGGTTAGAGCTGACATATTTACCAGCACTTCTCAGAGAGTAATCGGCACCGTGAATTTGAAGTCACTGAATTGTTTATCTCTCACTGATAACCTACAAGCCAGCACAATTCTATGTGTGTTTACTCAGAAGGAAGCTCCATCATTCAATGGGGCTTACTCCCAAAAAACTGGGCAGTGTTAGTAACATTCAAACCATTTCTGAGTTCCTGTTTTCTGGGATGCTAGAAATGTTTCTCTCTCTCTCTCTCTCTCTCTCTCTCTCTCTCTCTCTCTCTCTGTGTGTGTGTGTCTGTGTCTGTGTCTCTGTGTCTGTGTCAGCATTGAGCTACATCCTTTCATTGGCTCCTTGAAAGTGTCCCTATTTTTATATAGCCTGTAAGAGCTGGGCTGTTCATTATGGTCACCCTTGAAATTATCATCACTGTAACAAATTTTCAGTGCACTCAGCTAAAACATTTAGCATCATTCTCAATATGAAGTGGGGACATGACATAACATAGCGAGTTTACTCACATCTTCCACTGACCACCAATGTTAGTATCAATAGGGAAGATTATCTTCCTTTCCAATGAGCTAAAACAGAATCTCTCTCCCTCTCTCTCTCTCTCTCTCTCTCTCTCTCTCACACACACACACACACACACACATTCTCAAAGTGGTCTCTCAGTTTCATCTATTATGGCGACACCTTTACACAGGCAGCATTTGAAGAGCATCTCCAGCTCTACAATTCTATGAATCTATGCTAGCTTTAAAGGACTATGGTCCAAGATTTAGGATTAGTTGATGGAAATTAATATGTAGAACCTGTCCAGTTACACCATGGCCCGAACCAGTAGCATTTGCATGAACAAAACGATGTCCAGTTAGATCAACAATGTAAATGGAAAAATGGCCTTGAAGTTTTAATTGATGTCACTGTCAAAGTAACTGTTACCAAAGTTTGCAGTAGGTAGATTTCTTCTGCATGGGGTTGGAATAGATTACATTGAGGTCTCTTCCCAACCCTATGATTCCAAGAGAGAATAAGAGCTGAAGCTGAAAAAGAGGACTTTCACACCACATTTTGCAATTTATTCTGTTCCCTCTTTTCTCTTTCCCCCCTTTTTCTTTTTTACTGCAATGTAGGGCATTTTTGCTGCAGCAACAGGAGAGGGAAATGCCTTTGCCTTTTCGGCATTGGTCTACATACTTCTGTTACTTAGCAACAGCAGGGACCAAAAAGAAAGCCAAAGGATTCATAATTGCAAGTGCTTGCTGGAGGCTGAGAAAATGGAACAAGCCTGACACTCTTCATGTTGCATTTCTGCCAGCTGGAGACCAGAGTGTCCATACTTACACAGCCTCGTTAAAAGTTGCCTATAGAATTAGACGTTTAAAAACTACTGATGGCTGTTGATCAATCAGGAAAGACTGAGCCTCATCCTGCCAAATGTTCATTTCTCTATTTTCCCCATTGTAAGCACTTAACTGTGGCTTTAAAAATACACCTATCAAGTATCGCTGCAGAACTTTTGATTTGCAGCAGTGCCTCTTGTTTTCTCATTCTGACTGCGGTTGCTGACGGTATTAATTTACTCAGGAAGGTGGTCTCACCTGGTGCTGCTGGCTGAAAAGAATTTCACTTTGCCTTCCCACAAAGGAAAACATTCCTTGCCAGCTAAACAGCTGTGGTTGCAGAGTCGTGCATAGGTCCTGCTGAAATCAAAATGTATATGGAAAGTAATGGTGGTAAGGATGCAAGCTCACATTAGATGGATTCTGAGTGGAGTCCAGGAAGCTCCTTTCTAGGGATAGGGCCTGAAAGAGATACACAGTTTTATGAACTTTTTTCTGCTTTCATTCATAATGCAAACATTTGGCACCAGTTCTATCTGCAGCCTACAAAGCTTCATGAACTTTTGTGTTTCATCTATATAGGATTGCTTTGTTCATTTCTCTTCTTCAAAAGCTTCGTTTGTCTGCTTTAGTGTTCTAAGAACGAAATATTTCTCAGTGTCTAAAGAAAGTCATTCCTTCCATATTTCTTCTGTTAAACCTGTCTCCCCCCCCCCATTCACTGACATGGGCCAAATAACAGATTCATTTGGAAGTTAATGGCATGCACTATGCAAACAAGTGCATGCATCTTGCCCATAACCCACAGGGTGAGATTCAGAGGGATTTTTAACAGTATAATTCAGCAATGCCTCATCACTTTGCCTTTTTCCAAACAGTATAAAGGGCAACAGAACTTTAAAAAAATAAAAATAATGGGGCATGTATACTAACTGGGACAGTGGTGAGTAATGTGTCTATAAATGGGTTCAGCCGAGGAGTAAACATCACATGGTCTCTGGCTTAGATTCTTGTTGAGTGGGAAACATTTCATGCATCTTTGGGCATACAGCACACAATTGCTTGTTCTCCGCTGGAAATATTTAAAGAACCTTAGCCTAATCCCAGTCATGTAATTGCATGTAAAGACCGTGAGTGAGGTCGCAAGGACAAAGCGCTTGAAAGCACTGCTATACTAAGCACTGCTAATACAACGTCCACCATCTCCCTTTGCATGTATGAATCTTAAGTCAGTGTTTAATTACATGACAGACACAGCCAGCCAAGACATCTAGCCTGCAAGTAATCTACCCCTTTGCTTGAGATTCCCAGCACTGATGATTTCATTATACGTGGCTTCTCAAATGAGGTGCAGCAGATGGAAGTTTCAAATCTGCATTATTTTTTTAAAGAGAACATTAAACTCCAATGCATATGCTTTTCTTTTAAGAGAAGCAGATTTCAGCAATAACTGGAGAATACTGCCCTGTTATTGTTTTTAAATTGCCACTGACAAATTAATATACAGTACTTGAGCTCAGTTGGTTAGAGCATGGTTCAATCCCCATATGGCTCGAACAGCTGCATATTGCTGCACTGCAGAGGCTTGGACTAGATGCTCCTCAAGGTCCCTCCCAACTCTACAATTCTGTGATTTCTATGTTTCAGAAGAGTCATACTTCCTTAAAAGGATACGGCATTGTGTATTTCTGGGGGAACATTGTCAGGACCACATGCTGCATTGGCTGCATGTGGTAGTTCTCTGCGTGGAACTGGCTTGCACAGCCAAACTGAGCAGTACTTACCCTGAGCAAGAGTTAAACCCTGCAACATTGGCTGTGTGCTCCAGTTTCTTCCATGGAGCCAGTGCCCACAGCCAACACATAATTGAACCCTCAGCTGATGTCACCCACCCATCGAAGTGATGTCATCTGATTGACAGGTGAGTGGGGTTTTGAGGACATGGCCTCATGGGCAAATTAGGAACCCTCCAGCAGACAGTGGAAATGACTCAAATATTGCTGGGAGTAAGGCTGCTGCCTTGAAATGGGATGCTAACAAGACACAAGGCATAGCAACCAAGCAAAGATAATACAGTATAATAAAACATATGTAATATATAAAACATACATACACACGTGACATATATCTCAGACCATGAGGCTAGATTCACAGACTTTCCTGTATGCCTTTTTCTGGTTCAGTTTTGAGGCTCTGGATTGATATAATTACGTACAAAACCCTGACCCAGAATCAGGTCGTCTACGAATGATTTAGCACCAGGTTCCCCATGAACAATACTGTAATGGAAAAATGAGAAAAGCTTTTGTTATGTCAAAGTGTATTTTGGGGCATCAGTTTGCTGGTATGCTGCTATGCATTAATGAAATAATAAAAGGAAGCCCTCAGATACATGGTTATTATAGATATAATCTAACTGAACCTGAAGTTCTGGATATTTATCAAGACAGCACTATTTGATGCTGCCATTTGTTAATTGTGATGGTGATGGAGAGACAAAGTCTCATACCTAGAACTTAACTAGTAGAAATTTAAAAGTGGCCCACTTTCTCTTCCAAAGGGAAGAGAATATAGATAGTTCTACATTTACTTAGTATAGAAATAATTCAGCATAATTATCTGCTTTCTAGATTAAGATTCTTTGACCAATAGACTGCAACCTATTTGCACTTCGATCCTATTCATACTTAACTGGGAGTGCAGTATTACCTCAGGTTACGAATGCTGCCGGTTGCGCGTTTTCGGCTTGCGGACCACACCGAACCCAGAAGTACTGGAACGGGTTACTTTCGGGTTTCGGCACTCACGCATGCACAGAAACACAAAATGACGCCATGCACAGAAGCGCCAAACCGAATCACACGCATGCGCAGACGCGGCGCTGCGGGTTGCGAACACGCCTCCCGCACAGATCACGTTCACAACCCAAGGTATGACTGTAATTACCATTGAACTCAATAGGATGAGTAGATCGTGATAGGATTGCACTCTTAAGCCTATTAAACAACACAAAATGCTTATTAATAGATGCACCCTATGCTGTTTATATTTTATATATAGCACACACTACACTCTGCGCTGGCAACTTTTCGCATTAATTGTTATCAAAATAGTTTATTGGCTCTTTGGGGCACATGATGTTCTTAACAGTAAGACTACAGTATTGAGCTAATAGGCACTGTGCACTTAAAACTGAGGACAAGCTCTTGCCGGTTTCAGTGTCATTTCATCCACCCACAGTTGCAAAGCTCACTCTTTAGGAGAGGAACAGCGAAGGAACATTTCCAAACGAAACTGCAGGGAGAATTTGTGTAGGCAGAGTGTAATTACTCAGATTGGAATGCAAGTACACTTGTGTACTCAGAATATCTCCAGCAAAACTTTAGAAGTTTCATATGTTCTTTTGCCTTCCTTATCAACAGCAGCTTTCAGCCATAAGATTTTTATTTTTTTTAGAGTAGATGTTCTTAGGTGTTTTAATTGGTTTGTTGTTTGTGCATTTGCCATCCTGAGCTCCTTTTGAGAGGAAGGGAAGGATATAAATTGAATATCACAATCATATATATATATAAAAAGCATAATTAAGGCCAGCTCTACTGTTGGAGAGAGTGAGCCAGCTGCCTCAATTGACAGGTGCTGGTTGGTGAGGAGTGGCAATAAAATGTTGGGGGGACAGTGATGTGTGTGTCACATGAGCTCATATAGGGCCCCTAAGCCCTATATGATTTTGTCTCTCCACCATTGTTGTAATAAGATCCAACTGTCATGGAATGGGTGAGTGTCATCTTTTCCTTGCCGCCTCAGGTAGCAAACGTGGTATCAGACTAGAACCACAGAGACCCAGGTTCAATTTGCAATACAGCCGTGAAGTTAGTTTTGGTGATCTTGGGCCAGTTTACCTTTGTCAGCTTAACCTATCTCTCAAGATGTTAATAGTGGTAGGGTGAGAAAACTATGTCCCCCCACCCTCGAACTCCTTGGAGCATAGTTAGGACAAAAATAATCACTGAAGGTAGTATGTCTGATCCACCAAGCTATCTACATTCAGACATCTGGGAATGTGCCAGAAACAGCTCCCAATCCCTGAAGGTTCTGAGCAGACATTTTCAGAACTTCCTTTGCATTTCTTGCTAATTGGGCCAATGAGACCTATAGCCCAATCAGAAACAGGCTACTTTAAATTCATATGGGGAGTTCTGTAAATTGTGACCCAATGCATTCTCCAGCCATGTATCGTGATCGTCTGGGGATTCCACAAGCTGTCCCAGCCAATAAGCATAAAAGGAGGCTTATCAAGTCCCTGAAGGATCACCCTATGTGTGGGGTGGATTACATTTAATTTTGTGGATCACAGGTTGCACAGAGATGGAATACAGCAAATTTTCTCCAGCCTTTGAGTGCAGTTGGAACGAAGGATGATCCCAACAGATATAAAATGTTGTCAAAAGTTAGTGAAAGAGATGCATAAATCAGAAGAAATGTTGGGTTGACAAATAATTTTTCCTTTGGATGGATGGTGCAAGTTGATAATGCATAAGGAAGAGCAGAGATTTTTATAGGACTTGTTAGTATATGCCCTGCTTTTGCTGATACACTGGATCATTATATTGTGAACAATTTGTTATTGAAATGTCCCCTCTCACTTTCTCTTTTCATTTTTAGTATAAACTTGATAAAATATTCACAAAAATCCACTCAGGGTCCAATCCACCTGTGCACAAACAGCAGCTAAAACTGATTTTCTAAAAGGTTTCAGATACTATCTGAGAAGAGGGGGAAATATCTGAAAGAAGAAGAGTGTGGATAAGCCAGGGACAGGGTAGTTAGAGACAGTATGCCTCTGGGTAGGAGTTTATGGACACCACAGGAGACAGATGTTGCACTTTGGTCCTGTTTCTAAGTCTTCCCATAGGCATCTGGTTGGCCACTATGAAAACAGGATGCTGGACCAGATGGGCCACGGGCCTAATCCAGCAAAGCTCTTAGAATGGTCTCATGGTCCAGCTCCCCACCCATGTCTCCCTTTGATGCGAAAATTAGAGACAGCTTTAAAAATGAACAGGGCTGGCATGTGAATAAACATATCTGCCTCCCCTGCTACCCCACCACCCACCATGTCTAGCTAAGTCCGCACAATATCATAGCAAACAATCCAATGAAAGCATAAAGCAAAATGACTCAGTGGGTTTTGGTCTACAAGTCTCATTGGCCCCAATCCAGGGATGGGCAAGCACAATAAATGTGACTAGTAACACATTAAGAAACAAAAAAACCCCACTATGTGCATTTCTCATCCATATTGAGAAATGGGTGGGTATGGTCTTGTGGGACTGTACCAACATACAAGTGTGTTGGTTGGGTTACCCATCTTTAATAGCACCCTGTTTCGGTACAAGGCTGATCTGTAGACTTTCTTCCCCCACATAGCAGGAGCTTGTGAAGGTTTTATGTGACTCATGATGTTTGTCTCTATGCGTAAGAATATATTGCCCTTTAGAATTCCCATGTATTTCCTCCAAAAATGCAAATGAATCTCGTTTGGATTTTATTTTGCAGGTCTGCCAAGACGCATATGGAGAAGCTAAATTGATTGTAATGAAGAAAGTTCACTGCAATAGTTTATATATTTATATGATGATTGTGAGCATCCTAAATACAAGAAACGTCATAGGAATATTTGCACATTTATGGACTTTCTTGTTATTGGTTTTGATTACTGTAGAGCATATGGATTATATTAGCCGCACCAAAGCATATGTGTACATATACATGAAGTGAATTTGATCATACAATTAGAGATAAATGTAGTATTATTTTAAAAGTAGAATTGAAATAAAACATTTTTTTCAGAAAACAAGCATTCATTTTATTCGCTTTTCTGAATATGCTCAAAAGAGCATGGTAATAAATATCATAGATATGCCGAGTATATGCATATAAAGGTTAACATTCCATATACAATGTGTGCGCTACAGAAGAAGCACTTTTTGGTCCTATAAATGCCAATAGGAAAGCTAAATACACAGTTAAATTTTCTCATGGAAACCAGTGGCCCTTAAATATTGCTAACTTTATTGTGCCCAATAAACATTTTATTTTCCTTAACACCCAAAAGCAGTGTCTAGAATTATTTAACATGGATAACATTTTGCTGCTTAAATAAAAAAATCTAACGGCAAAATTGATGAAATACTATACGATGAAATTAATTGCCTGTGTTTTGAATGTATAAAATATCCATAACCTCAGGTAATGAGCCCACAAGAAGGAGCAGCTTCTGCGGCAGATCAGGGACCACAGGTTCCCCAGCATCCACATTCAAATGTGCACCTGAATACCAATGTCATCTAGCCCAATTTTCTATGCTATTTTATGCATCAGGGGATCAACTTTCAGACTTGAAGTGACAGTAAATAACAGAGTATTGGAAATTCCATGGCTAAATGGTGGAGACTTGCACACACTAGTTTAATCCCTGATATATCCAATATTAAAGGATTGCAGGGAGAAACTTCTGCCAGAGTACTTGTAGGGCCAACTAAAGTTTGCAGCACTGGATTAAATAGATCAGTGTTTTCCAAGCTTCCCACCACGGACCACTTGAAAAATGCTGTTGGTCTTGGTGGACCACATAAGGATTTTTCAGCCTGCTGCACAAATTGTAATGCACTGTGCTAAACGCTGTATAATTTTTAAATTGTATTTTGTTGCTTCTTTTATTTTTAATATATTGTATTTTGTTATATCACATTCAAATTATTACTGTTCTTCACAGACTGACCACCTGCATGAAGCTCATAGTCCACTAGTGGACTGGTGGTCCACAGACAACAGTTTGTGACCCTCTGAAATAGATCCCTGCTTTAGCTTCAGAGTTTCATAAGCAAACCCTTTACTGCGGAATTATTACATTGGCAAACAGGTAAAAACATTTTAAGTCCTCAGGGATGAAGAAACAGGGATGTTGAATAGAAAGACATCTGTTTCTGGAAATAGAACTCTGTGGTCAAAGGCAGTTATTACAGTTTGTGTCTAAAAAGAACCCTGACCCTACTAACAACAAGAAGGTTTCTCCGGGTTACAATTTTAAGACCAGATCCTTAATCACAAATAGAATGCAAACATTTTTTCATACTGTAACAGTAAGTGCATGATCAGAAGATTCTTGTGTACAACCATTGCCCCACCTATTTCCTTCAAATTAAGTTCTGTAACAAGAGTTTACATAAAGCAGGGATTGCCAATGTGGTGCCCTCCAGATGTTGTTGGACTACAAATCCCATGACCCCCAGTGAGCATGGCCCAATAATCAGGGATTATGACAGCAATATCTGGTAGTCCAGCAATATCTGGAAGACACCATGTTGGCTCCCCCTGACATAAGGCTTCAGATCCAACTTCATTAGCAGGTGGTTTAGCAAGTGGCTTTGGAACTGTCCATGGTCCTAAATGTTTTTTTGTTTAACTTATGAGAGTTCTGACTGGATACTGCCTACAGAACTGCACTGGAGATCAAGAATAGCTAAATAAATAAACAAACACTTCCCTCTGTCTTCCACTGAGGGAAAACTTACCAAGTGACACCTTCCTCTCTGGAGTAGAAAATTCATCCAACTGATTAATTCATGCAGACACTTTCTCCCAGTGGCTGACAGAACATCAAACTAGGCATGATAAAATGATCTGCTGCATTCTTTATCCAGGAATAATTTCTACCATCTATCTGTATCTGTTTTAAAAAAGGGGAAATTGTTTTTCATTTACTAGAATGAAACTAGAATAATAGGCTTGATGCCAAAGATCCTTCTTCTATGTTTGTAGTTTTGCTCCCCCATCTTAAGCTGCTTCCCACACCCCAAAAAATAGCTCCAGAGGATTGGGATACCCCCCGGGACATCTTTTCAGAGTGAGATGGACTGCAGAGGGGAGGAATACAAGACTGGCACTTTCCCAAGCCCCCTGGCACAAACAGAAGCATTTCTATTCAAGTCAGAGCAGAACATTGGATCAAATACACTGTTCAAAATAATACTGATAGCATTTGCCACATGCTATGCAGAAAAGCAAACATCTGATGCTTTCAGACAACAACCAAAAATGATTTATTCTAGCGAATGCTTGGTTGACTGACAGGATTCTTTCCTACCCTTCACCATAAGGTCCCAGGGAAGGTTACAACAATATAAAAATGCTAGACTATTCAAGTGCAAGCCTGATTCACTGCCATGTATGAAATACGTATTTCCCGTTCAGTGGACTGCCTTCTTCTGAAGAGATAGGTATGTTGGGGGACTTTGATTCCTACGTTAAGGAGAGCAAATTTTCCAAACACCAGTTTCTGATGCTGCTCTAATGAAGTTACTTTTCCATTAATAAATATTGCTCCTCACAGCTACTATTAGCCCCACAAAACCAACTTTCATGGACACCAGTTTATGTTCCCCATCCCACCAAACGTCAAATAAGAATGAGGGTCAATTTTTGTCATTACCACCATGTGAGAGGAAATGCACAGAGTTCACCTTGCCTCTTCTTGTGCCTGCTATTCTTATTCTTTTATTCTTCTTACTGAAAAAATATTTACAAGAATTGTAATGGCAAGTTCAAAACCACATTTCATTTGGTCATAACTTATTACACTGATCCTTCTTAATTATTTAATAAATGGAAACCAGCCCAAATGTACTTTTTGTCTCCCTTCATTAATCTCTGTATAATTAGTTAATTTGGACATGGAGATCAGGCTTGCATAGCTGGTACCTTGCCTCCCTCCCCCCATGCTTTCCACAACTTGCCAATAACCACCCACTTTATTTACAGAAGTATCTTCATTACTCCAAATGTATTGACTCACTCTAATCCAAGCCCCATTTAGCCAAGCAGCTCTTAACTTTCTCACATTCATAATTTAAGAACATCTCATTAATTTTTGATGCCAGACCATTTTTTTTGTTCCAGCTACAGCGACTTCCTTAAGGGGCATTAATGTTTGTGTTTAAAAAATTGCAGTTGCAAAAAAACCTCCAACCGTAGGGCTCTGATTCCCATTTTGATGCTAATGATTTCATCAAAGAATCCTAGATAAACCAAGTATAAATATCTAAAAGTGATGAATTGCCTCTGATTGGTCCCTTGAATAATTTATAGCCCCCATTTTTGTGGGGGAAGATCATTAAAAATTTCAGGGTTAATCTGCGCCAAGCTTAGTCTCTAATTACTGCACAGATTACATCTTTTTTTCTAAATTCCTGATGGAAAAGAGGGACAATTGAATTAACCCCCCTCCCTTTAAACTCTGCAGTTTGTTACTGCCTTGGCTGTAGTCACTATCCTGTTCCATGCCCATTCATTCACTCATTCTCTTTTTTTAATGCTCAAGGTTATTTAGGATGAATTGAAGCACGCTGTTCTTTTTCTCTCTAGCTAGGCTTGGCCTAGCAAATAATCTCTCCCGAGGTCACTTAACACTTCTAAATGTCACACAGCCATGAAAGCGCATGTGACTTGGAGCATCTGCAAGCTGCCCACATGCCCAAATGATACATGAGTGACTCAGTCTCTAAATTTTGTTGGCACCATAGTATTCTCATTCTTCTTTAGGACTCTTTCTTGCATGTATGGTGTGGCCTTACACTAGGATGTAAGGATAGAGCTTTGCTCAAAATCTGGCACCCTCTGTAAGCAATATTCTCAGCCTGTTGGAGTAGTGGGACTAGTAGCATGAAAGCATACTGTATACCAGTGGTTGACAATATGATGCTCTCCAGGCATTGTTGGACTATGGTTTCCATTGTACCTGACCAAGGACCATAGTGGCTGGGGCTCATGGGAGTTGTGGTCCTGCAACATCTGGAAGGCACGATTTTTCCTATCTCTGCTATATACACTATAAAGAGAACCAGTGTGATGTAGTGACTTGAGTGCTAGACTAGGCTCTGGAAGACCAGGGTTCAAATGCCTGTTCAGCCATAAAACTCACTGGGTGACTTTGATCCGGTCAGAGTCTCTTAGCCTAACTTATCTCAAAGGGCTGTTGTGAGGATAACATGAAAAGAGGTTGATTCATGTACACTACCTTGAGGTCCTTGGAGGAAAGGAAGGATACAAATGTAATTTTAAAATCTAAAGGAGGAGTGGCAGATCTATGGTCCTTCAGATGGTCTCATCAGTCCCAGACAGCATAACCAAAGGTCAGGGATTATGGAAGTAGTAGTCCAGCAACATCTGGAAGTCCACAGGTTAGCCAACCCTGCTTTAAAGTCTTACTTCTTTCCCTCCAAAAGAAAGACTTCTTTCCCTCCAAAAGCCTAAGAGTTAATAAAGGTCAGTAATGGGCTTGAGACTATCCCAGGAGTTGAAAGAAAATCACAAGCGCACAGGTCAACCCAATTTTTGGAGCTGTTTCCCCTTTCAGATAATAAGGCATGCCATAACAAAAAAGAAGTATACTTGAGCTTCTCATTGATTTTATAATATGAATGCGACACATTATTAATGTTGTAAGAGGAAGTGACTAGTTTGCATAGATGATTTTCCTCTTTATTTACAATGTCAAGCAAGTATAACAAATTGAAATGCTTTACTTGACTATTTTATTATCTTCTTAATTATACTATTTTAAATGTGTGTTTTATATTTGACTTCCTGTAGTTTTTAAAAAAAATGTTTAAGAAATTTTTTTGGTTAACTTGGCTGCATTAAGTTGTTGACATCAATGTTTTGATTTTAAAACATTTAAGATAATATTTTAATTTCTTGTTAATTATGTTGCTTTGAATGTATACTTTACATTTGACTTTCTTCAGTAGCATTTATTCTGGATTGTTTTATTTGATGTTTTAAGGTGTTGTAAACCACTTTGAGATTTCCTCCCCCCTTAAAAATATAAAGCGGTATAGAAATAAAATGAACAGCAGCAGCAACAACAGCAACAACAGGTTAACAAGGAGAAGAGGAAAGTGAAACTGAAGGCATTTGCTGTTGGATGCCAGATACTGACCCCTGAAGGAAATTAAGCAGACTGCTTTCAGTTAATTTGTAGGTGCCAGAAATATGAAACTGGTTGAGTTAGTTGAGCAAACTTTTAGAGCCATTTCCCACCATTATATGCTACTTAGATTCCACCACCCCCCCAAATTGCCAGGTATAAATGATATAACCATGCAAAAGTTGCATCTTTGCAACATGTAAGATGGACATAATTTAACTGGCCACATTTTGTGATAAATGTTGCCTGGAGGATTTTTATACAAAACTAGAAGTAATATTTTGGAAAAGACTTAGGAAATTATATTGGATCTTGTGTACCAACAGGATTCCCTCATTTATGTGAACTCTTCTGCTTGTAAACAATCCATGAAAGCCCCTGGATCTGTTGTACAATGTGCACAAGGGCCATTGGCACGCCACTGGCACAGATGAGATGCCATGAGACAAGCCACCCCACCAAACTCCATGTAGGCACACATAGTTTGCTTTGCTCCTGTTTTCCACTTCCAGCTTCTGAGCTGTTATCTATAACTTCTAATAATAGTTTCAGGACACAAGGTCTGTTGAAATCATTTAATGACCGTTTTGTAACTACCGCTTTTGATTTCAGAAAGAAATAGCAGGAAAAAAGAAATGGTGGCCTTAAGTCACTTGCAGGTGTTAATGTTTCATTTCCCTTTATTGGAGGGTATAATTAGGCAGCCCTAGAAGGCATCCTGGGGTTCCTTTGTGGGGCTGTTCTGTGTGGGAGAGTGCATTTGTTTTCCTTTTCCTTTGTGGTAACCTTTCTGAAAAGTTTCATTTAGCTAATTTGACAGAAACCACTTATAATAAAACCAAATGTAACAAAACTCCTGATAAGTCTAAAATTCACTCTCAGATGACAGCGTGTACAAATCCAGTTGCAGGGATTTGATGTATTGATTTCAATACAGACACGGGATATTCTACAGGCTGTGCTTCTCAGGTTGCCACACAGTAGGAAAGGCTATCTTCTTTCCACTTAATTCCAAGCCCAAGGTTTGGGGGGGGGGTGTTTTAGGCAAACATCAGGTGCCAAGTGGAAAAATGGAAGGATAATTGAGAAAGGGGTTTTACTGGAGGTGTCTTCATAATCAAAGAGTTGTTCCTTCTTCACTATTTCATTTTTCTTCTACACACACACGTACACTTGCACACTAGTACCATGCATTCAAATTTATCTGGAAGAAACACCATTCTTCACTTCTGTGGTCCCAGTCACGAAATCAGGTTGAAAATTTGGCTATGAATTGGTGGGGTGGGGGGGAGAGAAATAGATTCTTCCAATCCTTTGATTATAAGAAAGACAGGGTCCAGCATCCAATACAGACATGCTATATATCTAAAGGTAAAGGGACCCCTGACCATTAGGTCCAGTCGTGACCGACTCTGGGATTGCGGCACTCATCTTGCTTTATTGGCCGAGGGAGCCGGCGTACAGCTTCCGGGTCATGTGGCCAGCATGACTAAGCTGCTTCTGGCGAACCAGAGCAGCGCACGGAAACGCCGTTTACCTTCCCGCTGGAGTGGTACCTATTTATCTACTTGCACTGGCATGCTTTTGAACTGCTAGGTTGGCAGGAGCAGGGACCGAGCAACGGGAGCTCACTCCGTCGCGGGGATTCGAACCGCTGACCTTCCGATCGGCAAGCCCTAGGATCTGTGGTTTAACCCACAGCGCCACCCGCATCCCATATATCTAAAACCTTTAAATAAATTCACATTTTCAGACAGTAGTGGCAAGTGGCCACTGCAGCTCTAACTATAATATGTTCAAAAACGCAAAAGAAAATTGCAGTAAAAACAAAGACAGATGTTCTAGATCTGGATAATATTTTTGCAGAAGATGGTTCCGCTGTCACTACTAGATATCAACATGCAGGAATGTTCAGATGGGAGAGAAAGCTGGCTTTCCCAAGATGCAAAGGGTTTTAAAGGTTAGCTTTCTGTTGGCGTTTGCCCAAGGTAGTTTGGAGAGTTTGGTTCTATTCTGTGTGATAAGACATCACATCACATCTTAAGTATGCACCTTGAGGGAACTGCCCTTTAACATATCTAGGGTAAGTTTTCATCAAGTGTGCCAACTACTCCTTTCTCAATAGAGGGCAATTGCTTGGGATCACATCCAATCCAAATATGAGGAAAGCAAAACAGGTGCACTGTAGAATTTGCTCAGACCATTTCTCCATTTTTTTCTGGGTCTGTGAAGAATATTACTTTCACAAGCATCAGCAAGTTTCCACAGTCCTGTCTAACCCACCAGTTACCCTGCCCATATTGGATGGAAGGCATTGCTTGAAATCTCAGAATTTTCTCTCAGTTAAATATATATGTCACCTTTGGCCAAGGCAGTTTATAATTTTAAAAACCTAAAACAAATACATTATATAAAAAGGTAGAGTGCCACAGTCCTCTCAGGCCAACTGAGGACTGATGGTATGTGTGCTCCTTGACGGGGCTTCCTTGCTTCTGTCTTTCCGCAGGACCCACAGCTCTTGGCAGCCCTTGGGAAGGTGGGGAAACACCTGCCCCAACAGTCCTCTCAGGCTGCTGATGTCTCTTTTGGGAGCTGATGGTATGCGTGCTCCTCAGCCTGGCCTCCCTCACTTCTGCCTTTCCTCAGGTCACAGAGAGCTGCAAGGCAGATGTGGGAGGAACTGCCCCAACAGTTCTCTCAGGCTGTTGATGGTTCCGTCAGGAGCTGGTGGTTTGTGTGCTCTCTGGCCTGGTCTCCCTCATTTCTAACCTAGAAAAGCTATACTATGCCTTGGAAAGTAATGGAAGGGGGGTGAGACTCACTCTCTCCATTCACACATAACAATGAATATTGCCTGAAGAGTAAATTAGGAATAATTATGTGGTCTGGAAATGTAAAGAATGCACTGAGGGAACAGTAACAAAAAGCCAGACACTGCAAACAAAACGACCTATGTGCTGTGCACATTCACTTCTTATAAATGTGCAGAAGATAATCCCTATTGTTAACAGTGTAGTTCAAAGTGTCTGGCAAGTGGCACAGGGACAGCTTCTAGAATTAAGGGGGATTTTTGCCCGAGTATGAGGAGACAGGAAAGTGAGGCTTATTCCCTAACCCCACCCATTTTGACTCAGAAGTAAGTCCAACATGGCTTATGCCCAGTACTGCAGGTATAGGAATGCAGCCATAGTCTCTGTAGGGCTCACATGCAGAGCCCTGCCTCCTAGAATATCATTTATTTATCCCCAAATTTGTAGGCCACTCTACATTCAGAGACACTTGAGTATGCAGAAATAAAGCAGAAAACAACATTGAAACATGAAAAGCCAACAAGAATGAAACACAACAGAAAGGAAATTATCTTGTGCTGTAGCTTGGAGAGGAAGTACATGTAGATATACGCAAGGGCAATACAAGTGAGTCAATTGATGCTGTAAGTGAGATACTTACCTTTGATGTCATTACACCAATATAAAAAAAGTTTGCAGAAACACAGTCTATGGCTAAACAAGAGCGAACCAACTCTGACTGACTTCTTTGCTACTTCAGTTTAGAATGAAAAAATGAAAGGGAGGAGAGAATGCACTGTATTGTACATGCTAAAACCACAGTTGCTAGAGGTTTGCATAAAAAGAGGCTCAACATTCAGTGCACCCTTTTTCTTTGCACAACATCTTCTGTGAGCAATTTTCTCAGAAGGAACAAAAGCTTCAGTGTTTTCTGCCTGCTAATAGCCCATCAAAGTGCCCACAGGTCTTCCTTTTCATGCAGCACTGATGCACTCCAAGAACCATTTATGCAGGATTCCTGCAGCACGCCATAGTGGTTGCTTTTCATGGCTGCCAAATATACAGGGTCAGCCAGGAGGATTCAGGCTTTGGACTCACCTGAAATAAACCTGTCAGTCACAGGCTTCAGATGCGGTGAATATCTGACATACTTCAGTTGTCCCTGTGGATATGAGCGGCTCTTGAAAGGTCAGTAGTTCAAGTTGCAGCCCATGTTGGATCAACAGGAGTGGCAGTGGCACAGGACAAAAGCATACCTCAGTTCTAAGCACATTTAGTCCAGGGCATGTGCTTAGTAACCTGGTATTGCAGCCTTATGAGAGACCGTAATTCAAGGGAATCCATGATGTCCCTTCGTCCCGTCCCCCCCACTAATTTGTCTCAATAAATCTATCCTTCTGTTGGGACTAGGGATGGGGCAGAGCACCAAGGCATCTCTGTGGCCCATTCAAAGATTCCAGGTGTGCTTCTGTGTCATCTCAAAGCTTGCAGAGTTATGAAGACAAATCCATGGAGGTTGAGACTATCAATCTAGCCATGGCGGCTGTGTTCTACCTCCATTGTTGGAGGCAATATACGTTTGAACCCAATTTCTGGGAACTGAACATGGAGAGAGTGCTGCTCAGCTCAGGTTCTGCTTGTGGGCTTCTTGTGGGCATCAAATTGGTCACTGGTGGACTAGAGTGGTGTATTACATACAGGTACATTCAATCAGTCCAGGACAATTAAGAAATAATTGTTACATTCCAATCCTCATTCACTGCCATCATTTTTAGGATGTTTCTTCAGGGAATCTATGTGGGCATATGCAACATTTTCTTCTGCATTTTTTGTGCCTGGCAAAAAAAATCCCTTTTTCCCAGCCTTTGACTAAGCAAACAATCTATGGCCTTTTAAACTACATGGTTGGGTGAGGGAGTATTGTATTGTGTATTATGATGTTTTGTATTTTTGTGTTTTTATATTATAAACCGCCTTGTGATCCTTGGCTGAAGGGCAGTATAGAAATTTTGCGCGTGCGCACACACACACACACACACACACATTTTTGGATTGAAAGTTTAGAAAGAATTTCCCTATCCCCCCATCTACTGCATCTTTCTTATATATTCCTTATTTTCCCCAAACGTCGGCTTTATTTAATCATTTTTTCTTAAACAAGATCTCCCTTCAACCCAATAATAAACATTTATCTTATCATATATTGTATTCTACCCTATAGTTCTATATCTACATACTTTACATTTCTTTAACTATATCCAGTTATTCTCACCTCATACTCTGTAGGATAACTCCATCCACACTCATTTTGGGTACAATCCACCTCCTTTCTTCTAAAGTGGTACATTCACACACACACAAGTCAGTGTCCTGCAGTGCCTAAGATTAGATAATAGGTTGTTTGTAATTCTCAAGCTCCTTCCTTGAAAGTTGAGTCTGTTGTAAGATTCTTTGTCCCTGCAATATATTCAAATTAAAATTAAATTCTTGAAATTTCCACGATTATCTCTGTAACATCATTGTGCTAACATTTTCTTGAATTTTTCATCATTTATGTTTATTGCTATGGCTAATGAAAAATATTTTAAGAAACATAACATCTATTAAGTTATGCTCCTGGTGGGATCCTTTGCCAGATTCCTCTTTTAAAAGGCTATCCTGTTTTTCACACCTTATTTTAAAGGCCTATTTGCACTCCTCTTGGCAGCTGCAACTTCTGCAAGACTCAAGTTCCAGACAGCTGGGACAACTTTATCCATCCTTTATCACACAGGTGCGATGACTAACTTGGCATGTACCTATGCCCAATTTGCCCAAACCCAAAGGTGGTATAGCCAGGATGCATGCATTTCCTATTCAACCCCCCTGACCCTACATCAGAAGGGTATACATACGAACAACAGACCATAAAGATAAAAGTACCATACCTATAGAATCAAAATTACAAATTAATATAGAAAGTTGCCTTATGGCCAGTCAGAATATTTGTCTATTATTCTGTCTTTCTGGTAGTCAAGACTTTCACATAAACTGCTATTTGATCCATTAAACAGATGTCAGAGACTGACTCTGGTGCCTTCTGCATGCAAATAATGTACACTGCCCTTCCCCCAAATGAAATTGAAAGCGCAAGGAGCAGGTGTGTCCATGTGCACACATTATTTGAGCTCTTATCACTAGGTGACTCAGCGCTCTAAGACTTGTAGCTCTTTGTGATCTGACACCATATGAGATGTGATGGGATGATGAGCTGCTTGTGCGTAAAATCGTATCCCCTCAGAGTTTGTTCAAGTCCACAAACCTCTGTCTGTGACGGAGCCCCTCAGACATGGCTACTCTCGTCACTAGCAGATTCCGAGAGTGGCTGTTTTCGCATCGCTTCCAACATAAAAGCTCCTAACGGGAAACACGTCTTCTGGAATCTCTGCGTGACAAGGCGAGGAGTGGTGTTCTTACAGGAGGTCCTGAAACTTCCCCACTGCTTTCGCTGGAAGTGTCTCTGAGCCATCCCTCCAGCTCAGCTCCTCTCCCTGCTGGTTCCTCTTCAGCTGCGTCTCCCAACCTGTGAGCCCTTCACCCCTGTTGGTTCCCTCTTCTGCTGCTGCGTCTCTCCCAACCTGTGTGAGCCCTTTCACCTCCATTCCGTCCGATGGCTGTTCCCTGACATCAACCTCCCCTCAAGGGCCCCATTAACCCCCTCTCGCCCTCCTTCTACGGGGCGGTGAGGAGCCAAACCCCCGTAATGAACTTCCTTCATCTTCCGATGTCTCGAACACTTCTCAACCTGTTGCGGTTCCTGGTCCTCAAGTACACCTCCTCCTCAGAGTCCATCTCCCCTTCCCTTCCGAGTCCGGGAATCCTTCCAACTCCTCCCCTTCATCAGTGGTCCCAGCATTCCTCCGGAACCTTCCACAGGCTGAGGTTCCTTGGAACCTTTGATGCAAACGCGTTTCTACTGGTCTTCACACATATCTTCTGTGCCATTACCCAAGTGTTTTCTGACTCCGGTTCTCCTTCCCACGCTACCAAATACTCCACCTGATCCCCCTTCCACCTGGCGTCGAGGATTTCTGCCAAGGGCCAACCGCACCTTCTTTCTTCTACGATCAATCCCCGAGGGGCCAGCCCTTCGTCCCCTTCGTACGGTGACAGAAACGACCTGTGAAATACTGTGTGCATTTTAATGAGGTTTGGTAACCGGAGCCTGAAAGCAACTGGGTTGAACTGTAGAATGACCTCAAAGGTACCAAACCTCCTGGGTCTTAATTTACAACTCCTTGAACGGCAACCCGCTGACAGCCACAATTCTCTATCTCCCACCCTTATGGTTTCACCTTCCTTCGGGTTCTGTCTGCCTGCCCTTGTATTCTTCCTCGCCCTTTCTAAGTTGAGTTGGAGCTGACGATGGATTGCTTCCATTTCACAAAATGTTCGGGCTGCCAGACGCCCATCTCCCCCCCTCTCCCCTGGGAAAGCCCTGATGACATTCCATAATTAGCCAAGAAGGGGCTCATCCTAGGACACATTCTCGGCATTGTTGTAGGCAACCCGCCAGCGCCAACTTTTCTACCCAGTCATTTCTGTCATTGACATAACACCTCAGTATTGCTGGAGGACACCGCTGCTCTTTCCGATCTGCCCGTTGGTTTCAGGGTGCCGGGCAGCCGAAAATTGACTTCACCTGCAGTAAGCTCATGAGCTTCCTCCAGAACCTGGAAGGCAATTGTTTTCTCGGTCTGGAGACCACCTCAATGGCACCCTGCAACCTAAAATGTTTTCTACAAATAACTCTTGCTGTCTCTTCCGTGACTGCATGCAGTTTACAAAGTGGCACATCTTTGTTAGTAGGTCTACCACCACCATGATGGCTGTTTTCCTTGGACTTCGGCAGATCAGTCATAAAATCTATCGACACTGCCTCCCAAGGTCGGGGTTGGTGGGGGTGGCTCCACAGCCCGCCGGCGCCCGCTTTCCCTTTGGCTCGCTGGCATTGTCGCACCCTCTTACATACCCACGACATCTTCCTCACCTTAGGGCCACCAAAATTCCTGGTGACCAACCACATGGTTTTGTGTTGTCCAAAATGCCCCACGTAGGGCTGTCGAGCAACTGCTTGAGTACCTCCCTAACTCTCCTTCTTCAGGGGATATACAGTGCCCTTGTACAAAGCTCCATTTCTTTCCTCAAAACCCCTGGTTCCTCTCCATCACCCCTAAGACCTCTGAGCTTATTCTGGGCGTATTCATCATTCTCTGCTCTCTACCAGTTCTCTTTGTCCCACCAATGCCGCCCCACACCCAGCGGTCTTCTGGAATGACATGTCTCTCTTCGGGTGCCCTCCTCCAAATATTCAGGTTTGCGTGAGAGAAGGTCCACTCTAAGGGTGTTCTCTGGGCCTGGCACGTAACTAATCTCAAAGTTAAATTTGGAGAACCCTGGGCCCATCTCACTTGCCGTTGGTTGAGCACTCATGTGCCGTCCTCCAATACTCTAGGTTCTGTGGTCAGTGCACACTTACCTATGTTGTGCGCCAATTAGCAGGTGCCTCCATCTCCGGAACGCTCATGAATGGCTAGTAGTTCTCGGTCATACACCGTGAAGTTCCTCTCGGATTTGTTCAGCTGCGAAAAAGGCACACGGTTCCACTCTGACCCCCTTCTGCCTGGCTGCAGAAGCACCGCCCACCGCTCTGTCTGATGCGTTTCCACTCTCATCGGTTTTTGTAAATCCACAGGCAGGAGTTGCTGTTCCGAGGCGAAGGCCCTTAGTTCCTCAAATGCTCGCTCCGCCCTCAGTCCACACGAACCTCTTGACTGAGACAGTCCGTACGGGCGTCAGGTGGGCAAAGTTTCGGATGAACTATTGAGCAGTTCCCAAACCAGGAAACCTCTGCACATCCTCTTGTTTTGGGTGTTTTCCATTCCAGCACCGCTCTGACCTTGCCGGATCCATGGCCAATCCTTTGTCTGACAGAATCCCATACCCCAGGAATTCCACTCTTGGCATGAAACTGACACTTCTCCAGTTTCACCCACAGCTGGCTTGGCTTGCAGCCTGCTCAACACTTCTCTGACGTCTCTCATGCTGCTCCTCGTCACCCAGAATACACCAACACGTCGCCTAAAAAGGCCACACAATTCTTGTAAAGCAAAGGCCCCAGGACGTGGTTCATAAACGATTGAAATGTTGCGGAGCCTGCTTGTAGGCCGTAGGGCATAACCAAATATTCAAATGCCCCTAAAGGTGAACATAGTGGTTTTCCATTCATCCCCCTTCCTTATTCGTACCCAGGTTGTACGCCCCCTTAGTCCAGCTTTGTGCACCTTTCCCTTCCGCACCCTTGTCAAAATGTCGTCAATCCTAAGATAGGGAAGGCTACTGGTTCTGACACTGCATTTAAGGCCCTGAAGTCACACTGTTTTCGGCTTGTTCGTGTTTTTCATCTCACAAAAACACTGGCTGCCCCACCGCCCTGGACTCTGATGAACCCTCTCTTCAGGGTTCTTGTCAATGAACTCTCGTAACTCCTGCATCTCTCGGTCTGACAGGGCGTCCAGCTGGCCTACAGGGAGCTGTGCTCCCGGGAGTGTTACCTTGACAGTCAAAGGGTCTATGCTGGGGTAGTTGGTCAGCTTCCTTTCGCTGAAGACGCTAATGGAGATCTGCATATTGTCGTGGTACCTTCACGTTCTCTGTTACTCAGTCCCTGCTAGGTACTTGGACCCTGCCAAACCCTTCCTCTTTGCAGTGTTCTAAGTAATGTGCTGAACCAAGAAACCACTCTCTGATTCCAACCCACCACCGGATCATGTAACGCTAGCCAGCTCATACCCAAAATAATGGGAGCTCCTCCCCAGGTGGCCACATTAAAGCTACTGCCCGGTGTGCCTTGCGACCTCATTATCATTGGGACGGTCTGCAAGCTGACTTCTCCACCCAACAGCTCCCTGCCATCGATAGTGGTCACCTGCAGGGGGCTGCTTAAAGGGATTGTCTGTATCTGGTGTTCAGCTGCAAACTCTTTGCTCATGAAATTGCAGGAGCTGCCTGAGTCCAACAGCGCCTTTATCTTTAGAGGGTGTCCGTTTGGCAGCTCTAGCGTCACTTCTATCACTAGGGCGGGTTTAGGAGGTTCTGGCGTGGGCACTCTCACTGCTCTTTGGCCTGGCTGCTGTGCCCTGACAGTGGCAGCCAGGCGTTGGCTTTACTTGCTCCGGTATATTTTCCTCTCTTCCATCCACAGCTCCTACCATCCCTTGCCATTCTTTCCTCTGGGGGCAGACTCTGGCAAAGTGACCTGGCTGTTGGCAGAGATAGCATTTCCGGGCGCCTTTTCCCTCCTTCTTTGCCCCTTCACTGGGCTTTGAAACTGCGCGCGCGCGCTGTTCCGATTTCCATCGGCTCTGCCGGTGGGAAAGTTGGCTCTGGAATGTCTGGAATGCGGAACTCCTTCCAACGTTCCCCTTTCCCTTCCCGCCTCTCCAATGCTCTCGCCTCCTGGCGCGCTCCTATGGCCAGCGCTGATTTGGTCAGCTGGTCCATAGACTCCGCCCTGGGCGCCCGGGAAAGTTCGTCTTTCACAGCCGAAGAAAGCCCTTCTTCAAAGAGCATCTGAATGGGTTCCGCCGATAAGTCCCACCCCAATCTGTGAACAAGCATGGTGAACTCAGTCCAGTACTCACGGACAGATCGGCTCCCCTGTTTGCAACCCATTAACTGTCTGCGCACCACTCCCTTTTCAATATCGCTGGAAAACATCAGATCCATGGCGCGAAAGAACTTCATCGTGTCCTTTAAGACGTCACTATTAGCTGCCATCAGGGGTCTAACCCAGTCTCTCGCCCCCTTTTCAAGATGCTCAATCACGAAAGCCACTCGTGATTCCTCGTCAGGGAATTCATCAAACTGCAGATTGAGGGCATATTGCATTTCTGTCCGAAAACCATGATAGTTTTGGGCTCCCCCCCAACCTTCTGCACCAATCCTGGTACCTTTCTGGCAAACTGGGTGGCTTTCCCCTTTTGTCTGCATCCTGAGCCCTCCTCTCCTCAAGCCTCGCCGTCTGCATCGCTAGCTGGACCTCCAACATCTGGTACCTTTCTTCCAGGCTTGGACCCGCTCCAGCTCCTGCTTCTCCGGTTCCGGCTGGGTTGCTCATGATGCCTTCTCCTGCACAAGCTGCTTTCAAAGACTGTCGGAATGCTGTGATGGGATGATGAGCTGCTTGTGCGTAAAATCGTATCCCCTCAGAGTTTGTTCAAGTCCACAAACCTCTGTCTGTGACGGAGCCCCTCAGACATGGCTACTCTAGTCACTAGCAGATTCCGACAGTGGTTGCTTTCGTAATTGCTTCCAACATAAAAGCTCCTTAACGGAAACACGTCTTCTGGAATCTCTGCGTGACAGTTTCCGGCGAGGAGTGGGTGTTCTTACAGGAGGTCCTGAAACTTCCCCACTGTTTTCGCTGGAAGTGTCTCTGAGCCATCCCTCCAGCTCAGCTCCTCTCCCCTGCTGGTTCCCTCTTCAGCTGCTGCGTCTCTCCCAACCTGTGTGAGCCCTTTCACCTCCCTGTTGGTTCCCTCTTCAGCTGCTGCGTCTCTCCCAACCTGTGTGAGCCCTTTCACCTCCCTTCCGTCCGATGGCAGTTCCCTGACATGAGATAAGGAACTCCTGTCTTTAATATCTGATCCATAATGGCTCGTTCATACGTGCAAAACGCAACTCAATAGTGCAACCATCTATTGATAAGTGACCGATAAGCTGAAAGAAACATAGAATCAGAGCAGTCACATGGTGCAGTTTTTCCTGGGTCATACCAATGCAGACTGAAAGGGGAGAAATAGTATGTTTGAATTCTCCTGATTTCCCATATTAAACGTATCTCCCTCTACATACAAAACAAATGTCAGGGAGAAAACTAGGCTAGAATTCTTTCTTGTGGCTCACTAGTTCCGTATGCACGTGCAATTTTTTTATATATAGAAGAAACACCGAAAGCTTGACTTACAGTGTAAAATGGGATATGCCTGGACAGCTGCAAAATGTCACTGCTTTGAGTATTTGTTCCCACTCAGGCTGACAAGATTCCATAGCTATTTGTCCTTGATTGCTTTGCCAGTGCATGTTCAATACTGTTACAATAAAGTAGCAGGGAACAGATCACATCAGAAAGGAGGTGCATACTTTGTGGTGTGCGACAAATGTCTTATCCACTTAAAATACATTAATATGGATGAAATCAAGATCCTCCCAGGAAACATAAACACTTTGCATAATCAGCTGTGTCCCTTTGTAAACTACCAGGTCAAGCATATATGATAGGACTTAATTATAATAACATTTCACCCCATTGTTCAAAAGCAGAAACTTACCAATAAGGCAGACCAGGGTTCTCTTTCCAAAAGTCATTTTGTACCTTCCCAGGATTGTGTCAGCCTTCATACTCAAATACCTGCATTTTTAATTTTTTACTTAGAAATGAGAGCTGTGAAAAAGGCATTTCAATCAAATAGATCCAAAGGTTGTCACAAGCCAGCCAGCCAGCCAGCCAGCCAGCCAGCAGGGTGAGTGCATCTGACTGTTTTTAGCCTCCGAGGGGAATTGGATGTTCCAAGACACAGGCGATAAGGACTGATAATCTCTTACTCCTTCTATTTAATTTGACTACATTTGTTTTCCCATTGCAAATCTGCCATGTGATGGACTGTCCAAGGAAGTTCAAGCTTGCTTGGAACTCATTTATGCCTGGATCCCACAATAAACAGAGCTTGCTGTATATGACATAATTTCGGGGCTATTTTTGTCATTCCTTTGAAGAAATATGTTGCTCGCATGATTTCCAACCAGGTCACTCAATGTCAGATCCTCTGGCTTGCACTCCTTGTAAAATGACTGCTTTCCCCTCCCCCTTCTCTCTCTCTCTCTCTCCCTCACCCATCTCAGTTCAGTGCTTGGACAGCTATGACAAGGGGTCTAGTGTTTGCATTCTATTCTGGTCACTGTGAGTTATGGTGATATCATATAAACTAAAGGGTTCCAAAATGCATGTCAAATTAAACCACTGACTAATCCTCATATTTTGCTCGTCTTTCTGCTCCCAGGCTAAAGGTCTGTGTGTCCACAAAATCCTAACACTCTAATCTGTAGGTGCTGATTTGATTTTCAGCTGAAACTTCCTACGAGGAGAAATCACCATACGTGGCTTGTTGGCCCTGGGGGAATAAGAGCTAAACTTGTCTAAGAGTGAAACAGCTTGAGCAAAAGCTGCAGCAAAGTTCAGCCCTCCTCCTTCCATTCGTGATGCACCAGCAGCCACAGAAGGTCTATTTAATCAGCTTAAAGAGAAAGAAAAGCCACGGGAGACATCTGAGCTGGCACAAATCGTCACCTGATGCTGGCCAAGCAAGTGCTCTCATCTCCTGTGGACCAACTCCTGTGCCGGAAACAGAGGTGAGAGAAATGTCTGGAGGATGTTACTGAATTCAGCTTTATGAATGAATGAATGCAGGAGACAATGTGTACTAACAGGATGCTAAACTGGAAAGGGATGTGAAGGGCTCTATTAAGTTGAAGGAGCAGAGCAGATGGTTGTTCTTCAAGTGCTTCCTTGTCCAGTTGAGTTTCACAGCTGCAGTGTCTTTCCTTCTTTTCATTGACAAAAAGGCTTTAGAGCATTTTGTTCTGCACAATGAGTTACTTTCTGTCCTACTGCAAAGGACATTGTGGTTCTGTGTTGTCTCAGTACCAAACCCTCCGCAGCGAAGGCTTGTTGTGTGACATTTTGTTGAAGGTGAAAGAAAACGAGTTCCCTGCTCACAAGTCTTTGCTGGCCTGCTCCAGTGATTACTTCAGGGCCATGTTCAAGAGTTATACCAAAGAATCAAAGGCTGCCATCATTCACCTGCAAGTCATCTCAGCCACTGGTTTGCAACATGTTCTGGATTTCATTTATACTTCTTGGTTGCCTTTGTCTTTTGCCAGCCTAGAAGACACTTTGGAAGCCGCTACCTACCTGCAAGTGTCTGAGGCAATTGTCTTGTGCAGCCAATATTTGGCTAACAATCTTACCATAGAGAACTGCTGCTTTTCTGCCAATGTTGCTGCAAGATTCTATCTTCCAGATGCTTTGTCAGCTGTAGAAAAATATCTCATTTTTAATTTCTGGAAACTCCTAGACCTTGATTTTGCAGAACTGCTAGAACTGAATTTCAGATCTTTGAAGGCAGTAGTTGAATGTTCAGATCTGCCTATGGTGAAAGAATCTAATTTGCTAGATCTATTGCTGAAGTGGCTGAAGTATGATAAATTGAGGCTGACACATACAACTAGCTTATTGGAACACATACGATATGGTCTTATCCCTGTGGAAAATCTGAGAAAAGTCTACACTCAATCAGAAGTCCCTCTAACAGCACCCATAAAATGCTTAATCATAAAAGCAATAAACTACCACTCATTTGTCTTTAGGCAACCTATCCTACAGGATAAGTACAGCACACTGAGAAACCAGAAGACGCGGATTATCCTGCTTGGAGGTATGATTCAACATGAAGGGCCCAGCAGGGATGTGGTGGCTTTTGACGTTTACAATCACAAATGGCAGATTTTAACACAGGTGCAGGATCGACTACAAAATCACTGTGTGTGTACAGTTGGAAACTTTCTGTATGTGCTAGGTGGAGAAATAGAAGATTTGCAAAGTGAAACGAAAAGTCCCACTTTAAGAGTGACAAACAAAGTCCATCGCTATGACCCCAGATTTAACAAGTGGATACAAATCAACGGCATGCTAGAAAAAAGATGCCACTTTTCTTGTTGCGTCCTAGAGAACACCATTATTGCAATTGGCGGTCAAGGTGAGGATGGATCATTACATTCATCTGTCGAAGCCTACAACATTAGCCGAGACACATGGACAAAAGTTCGAAATTTGCCATGCGAAATCCATGGTCATGCCGGCACTGTTTGCAAGAATAACGTTTATATATCGGGTGGCAAATGCACAAATCAAAGTAACACAAGTAAGGATTTGTACTCTTTGAGTACACTAGAAGGGCAATGGAAAAAGCAAGCCCCCATGAGCATTGCCCGGTTTGGGCATCAGATGGCCACCATAAGAGATTGCATCTTTACGTTTTTAGGCCTTTATGAACCATTCTCTGAAATTGAAAAATACAATCCTGACCAAAATCAATGGACTCGTCTAAGGCCATTGGTCTATGATCGATTTAGTTATGGTTTGGCAGTAGTGGAGGAAACTGCCCTTCTCATTGGGGGGAAGAAGTGGCAAGATTCCCAGGAGATTCCAACTCAGGATGTGGTGGGCTATGATATAGACAATGACTGTTGGGAAGAAATATGCAAAGCTTCGTTGCCTTGGTATGGATTGCAGTGTGCTGTGCTAGAGCTTTCTGAATTACTAGATGCTAAAGACATTCAACAACAAAAGAGACTAACTGTTTAGGTAACAACTCACCATAAAATGATCTGCAAGGACAATTCCGTAACATCTCCAGAATGTCTAAATATTAAAAATGTTGTCCCATTCTATATTAAGAGATAATATTGTGAATCAGTAAATAGGCTTGAATTTTGTATTTCAAATCAGAGTAAAACAGGCAAAGACTAAGAACTTGTTGGCAATAAGAGCTGTACATAAACAACTGTTTTGTTTTCAGTAATAACTGTGAATTAATACCTGATTTGCAGAACATAAAGTGAAGGTGTGAAGAAAGAGGCATACTGTAGTAAAAAAAAATAGAATGGATGAATCCATTTATATGCCTCTTTCTTCATACCTTCACTATATGTTTGAAGCAGGTATTCATTTGATACAGGAATTAGAGGCTGCATAATTGCATGATGTTATTGTATTGTCCACAGGATCCCAGTTCATTTTTTTAGTCGTGCCAAAGCTTCAGAATGGGGGAAAGCACTGCAAACTGCACAAAAAAGCAAACAAAACGTTGCACTCCTTAAATCTCTGTCGTGCTTCCCATTTTAATTGGTGAAATTTTGAAACAGTTGTTCTAAGCTAAGGCAAAGAGTTAGCAGCTGGTCTAACTATTATAAGGTTGAGTGGAACATGAAACAATTATATCTTGTATTTGAGAAATAACACCTTGTACTCTGTGCCCTTTAGGACCATAAATGGGATGGAGATGTTTGTTTCTAGTTGCTGAGTGACTCTGTGCTTCAGCACACTTATAAAAGCTGCCCATGGGTATATTGTGCACGATGCATTTCTGTTTGAAGAAGTAAAGGAATTTTCTGCTTTGACTTCAAAAAGGCATTAGCAGCCTCTTTCTGCATTACTGCCAGGGTAGGATGGAGTTTAGTAGTTTTAAGCCATGCCTCATTCACAGACTTGCAGATATGGTATTTGATTTCAGAGTGTGAAATCTGACTGTAACTTAACTTTATAATTTTAAATATTTGCTTTCAAACACAATCTATTTTATAGCATATCCCTTTAGTCTGAAAGCACTGAAGATGCACAGAAGCACTTCTCAGTCTAATGTACAAAGAAGGCAGCACAATGAAAAAAACGATAGCACTCTTTCATGCCAGACAGTCTTACAAGATGAGGCTGAATTTTATGCTTGGAACGAAGTCACAAACACTGTCTACAGCAGGATAACATGCAGGCAGAATTACTGTTGCATAGCAACAGGATGCAGTTGTATAAGATGCCCTATAGGCCAATCCTAAGAATTTGTTAGCATGGTCTCACTCTGTGCCAGTGTTACACAGCCAACTGGGTCAAGGAGGGGCACTCATTCTAAAGTTTCTGGGGATCCTCAATTTCCCATAAACCCACCAGTTCCTTGTATAAATTTAAAAGACTCCTAGCTGTACTGCATTTGTAATCATTTTCTTCCACAGAGAAGCTTCAGTGTAGGAAGAAACATGTAGCTCATGAATATATTTTTTTAACTTCAGGAAAATAGTACAGACATTTTTAAAAATTCCAGGAACGTCTAATGTTATTTGTTGCAATACATATTCTTTTTTCTATTTTAAGTTTTAGGTTCTTGGTTTGTGTTCATTATGCTGTATTTGACTGTGCTTTTATTGTATTTTATGCTGTGATCCATGCTGTGGATACTGTGAGACAGTGTGGCAGGATAATTCAATCAATAAAATAATAGCAACAGTGTCAGACGATCACACACGTGTGAATTTTATTCTGTGTGTGAAAGAAGCTATGATTGATCACACCTTTTCAGATTGTTTACTGGAAAGCCTTGAGTAGCCCCAGCTTCACAGCTGTACATTGAACTACCGGTAAATACAAACATTAGCATATGTATCTACTAGATACAACCTTCGTACTTTATCAATGAAGGAAGGACTTTATGTGTAGGAGAAACAAGTGAGGTAAAGGTCTACACTGATATTTCACCTTTCTACCCAGAGAAACTTTTGCCTGCAATTTACAACATAAAGCTGTAATCCACAACCTACAAGAATCTTATGAAGCTACAGATTAAAGAATTAGGAACACAAGGAGATGGTTTAGAGCAGAGGTTGTCAACCTGGTCCCTACCGCCCACTAGTGGGCGTTTCAGGATTCTAGGTGGGCGGTAGGGGGTTCTACGGCACAAGCTGAATCCTCCTTCCATCGAGCACTGGTGGGGGGTAAGGAAATTTTACCAACCAGAAAGATGCATTAGTGGGCGGTAGGTATAAAAAGGTTGACTACCCCTGGTTTAGAGTCAGACTGTTGCTCTATCTAGTCCAGGGTCAGCTGCAAGCAGATCTCCAGGGTTTGAGATAGGGGACAGCCTCAACACTACCCAGAGATGCTAGGGATTGAACCTGGCACCTTTCAGATGCAAAGCATGTGCTTTACCACTGAGCTATGGTCACTTCCTATTTCTATGCAGGATACTATGCAATTCTGGTATGATGCAGGAGTCCTTATTAAACTATTAA